TAGAATAGAATAGAATAGAATAGAATAGAATAGAATAGAATAGAATAATGGAATGAGAACAGAATAGAATAATGGAATGAGAACAGAATAGAACAGAACAGAATAGAATAATGGAATGAGAATAGAATAGAATAATGGAATGAGAATAGAATGGAATGAGAATAGAATAGAATCGAATAGAATAGAATAATGGAATGGAATGGAATGGAATAGAATAGAATAGAATAACGGAATGAGAATAGAATAATGGAATGCGAATAGAATAGAATAATGGTATGAGTAGAATAGAATAATGGAATGAGAATAGAATAGAATAGAATAGAATAGAATAATGGAATGAGAATAGAATAGAGTAGAATAGAATAATGAGAATAGAATAATGGAATGAGAATAGAATAGAATAGAATAATGAGAATAGAATAGAATAATGGAATGAGAATAGAATAGAATAGAATGGGACAGGACTGAACAGAATATATGGAATGGGAATAGGAAAAGGGATGGGATGTGATAGGATAGAATAGAATAACAACTTTATTATCACTTTGACTGTACACTAATCAGCATACATTAAAATGAAATGTTGTTGCATATAGCTCTCAAAGGGTGACCTCCTCCAATATATACATAAACATGACAAACTAACTAAATAAATAAAAAAAATACAAAATTATGTATATACCCACATATATTATATGACACAGAGAAACAACACAGTCTAGTTCGGATTTCTCTGACCCAGTCTCTTTTTATGCCATGGAAATATATTGAGGCATTAGGGCAAGGGTCCTCTAACTTGGCAAGGACTTCAACTCCCAGAATTCCTGAGCTAACATGCCTGGAGGAGGAATTCTGGGAGTTGAAGCCCACAAATCTTCAAGCTGTCAAGTCTGAAGACTCCTGCATTAAGGCTTTGATTTGGTGTATAGGTTCCTGACTTTTACAGAAGGGCTATCCAAGCTTGGCAACGTTTAAGGCTTGTGGACTTCGATTCACAGCAGGGGAATTCTGGGAATTGAAGTCCACAAGCCTCAAAGCTGTCAAGCTTGGATATCCCTGGCTGTACAGTAAAAGGACCGGAAAGGAAAACTGGAGAATCACCCACTCTAAGAACAAGGTCATCTCAATTGGCAGAATCATGTTCCCCTCAGTGGATGGTGCAGCTAAAACCTTCCAGGCTCTCCTGCCAAGGATTCTGCCCTTGCGTCCTTTCCTCTCAATCTCTGCCCTTCAGGATACGCCCAGGATCCCAACCTTAAATGGCAAAGCAAAACTGGGAGCACAGAGGAGTCATTCCAGTTGGCATGATGGATAAGTGTTGAGGATTCAGACACATCCATCTGAGCCTCCTGCACCTCACCTAGCAAATCTGAGGCTAGATCCAGAACTGCCTTCTGCCCAGCCATGATTCAAAACAAGGGCCTTCCAACTTGGCAACTTTAAGGCTTGTGGACTTCAACTCCCAGAATTCCTGAGCTAATATGGCTGGAGGAGGAATTCTGGGAGTTGAAGTCCACAAGCCTTAAAGTTGCCAAGTTTGGGGACCCCTGCTTTAAACCATAACTCCAATGGCAGGCAGCAGCCACATGATGCATTATTCCGATTAACCTTTATTAGTAACCGGAGTTGGAGGATTGCTGGAAAAATTGGAATTGTAAACTCTTTGGGAAATGCAGTTTCTAATCATTTCTTCCAGGAAATCTCAGCAAAATCGGAAGTCCCTGCCAAGGGAAACATCGGCAAGGCTTCATTACATCACCAGGAGAAGGGGTGGGGTTGAAGCACTTGGAACCAATTAAGTGTTGCAGGACATATTTTATCAGAGGAATTTTCCCCCTTTAGCTGCTCCTTCTCTCCAGCTCTCTTTCTTGGAGGACTGAGTCGTTAAAGAGGGCTACTGACTTGATAAGTTCTTGCAATCAGTTCTTGTGTACACCGAGATTAACGGTGCAATCTAGTTTGCTGAAGCTAAATTTTTTATTTACTGATTTATGATTTTTATGCCAACCGTCTCATGTAGAGGCAACCATTTATTTGTATCCTGTCTTTTAAAAATAATTTTAAATATTTTTAAAAATAATTCAAAGCAGTAAAATATCCTTCCTTCCTTCCTTTTCTCCAGGAGAGAGAGAGAGAGAAAGAAAGAGAAAGAGGGAGGGAGGGAGAGAGAAGGGGGGAAGAGTGTAACTGGCCCCTAAAATCTATCCACCTTGCAGGCATATAACTAATTTTAGCCATGCTTGGGATTTTATAAACGCGCTAACCCCTTTAACCTAATTCAGGAAAATGTGTTGTGGGGGTGAGGACATTTGTGAAGATGGACCCCTTTCAAATTATCACTTTAAGCCACCATATGGAACTCCAAGGAATTCCCAATGCGTCCCATTCTGCAATTATAATGACTTAGATTCTATAGTGTATAGTATATAGTGTATAGTATAGCTCAATAGTGTTTGTTAACCCGAGCAACTTTTAAGAGGTGGTGTGGACTTTCGGAATACCCCAGCCAGAATGCGTTAACAAGGATGGACTTCAACTCCCAGAATTCAGCATGGCTGAGGAATTCTGGGAAATGAAATGCACCCATCTTAAAGGGGCCTGGGTGGAGAAACAGCGTTCTAGAGTGCTTTTTACTATTCCTGTGGTTCTCTACCTCAAAGACGCCCTTAACGAATAAAGGTTTGGCCTTGTGGTCTTTCCCCAAACAACAGTCTAATTTATATCATGGCTTAGATGGTTCATTAACCCCATACAGGGTTTTTTTTTTTTTTGGCTTCCCCATGTTTTATTCTCTGGGGACAATTTCTGGTTTAAAATCTGGGCAAGGGAGAACCATTCATGAGTAACTGTTTTCCAACAAAGGGCTCTGGTCCCAGATGGATAGCTCCTACCTCTGAAGATTATCTGGTTTTCCTTCTTTAGTTGGAATTCAGTGTTGTCAGCTATCTCTGTACAATTAATTTATTTTATAGGCAGTAAGCACAACCCTGTTTTTCTGATTTTTCACAATCTAAACATGCAGCGCTCCCCACTGCACGAGACTTTATTTGTTTTGGGGTGAAGCCTCGAAACTAACAGAGCAAAAGGCTGAGCGCATGATCACACCACTGTGAAATGTGTATTTGCATTTTCAATCTAGTAATTCACACTTGCAAACAATGAAATTACCTTCCACTGCCGCTAAAGAAAGCAGTGTTGTTATTATTACTGTTCCCTCCTTCATGCATATATGAGCTTTGCATTACAACACACACACACACACACACACGTACGCAAACACAGGGGAATGGGAAGGTATAAACTGGAATTTTAAATTGGACAGTTGTCTTCACATACATTGTAGGCATCAACAGCACTGACTATACGTCTCACAACTGTATCATGAAGCAGAAATCAGTGCATGTTTAGCAACCAGCATTATTTAGCATCGCTGATTTTTATTTTTCATTTAAAATCTCCCAGCGAGAAGCTGTGTTAGTCTGCTGAAAAAACAAAAGCCATATTCAAATGACATCTGAGTCATTATTAGGAGTTGCTGAAAACAGTGGTTTGTTTCAAACACCATTAAACAAAGTTTCTTGGGTTGGCTAAAACAAGGAACTGTAGTTAATGGAAGACTTAATGATATTTGATTATTTGATACTTCACCAAAGAATTAAAGAGAGAAAGAGAGAGAGGAGAGAGATAGAGGCGGGAAACAGAGAAGAGAGAGAGAGAGAGAAAGAGAGAGAGAGAGGGCAGAGGGGGGAAAGAGAGAGAGGAGAGGAGAGAGACAGAGGGCAGAAAGAGAGAGAAAATAGAGAAGAGAGAGAGAGAAAGGAGAGAGGGAGAGAGAGAGAGAAGGCACAGAGAGAAAGAGAGAGAGAAAGAGAGAGACAGAAAGGAGAGGGACACAGAAAGAGAGAGACATAGAGGGCGGGGGAGAAGAGGGAGAGAGACAGAGGGCAGAGAGAGAAAAAGAGAAAAGAGAGAGAGAAGAGAGAGAGGGAGAGAGAGAGCACTCTTAAGCCAAGAAATTATTGTCTGATCTTTCGCAAAGTGTCTTATGGCACCTTACAACCTAATAAATTCACCATGCCATAAGCTTTCACGGACTAGAATCCATTTTATGCCTTTGATTAAACGGACTAAGCCCACAAGAGTCGCATATGTTTATCTTGAACTTGCAACAATATCCTGTCAAAAGAAAAAAAAAAAGACCCCCCCCCCCCCCCCCCCGCAAATAATCTAATTCCGGAGGGATCACCACAGGTAACATCTGTTCCAGCGAAAGAAAGGAAGGAAAAATTCGGTGGCAACTTTAAAACGGAAACAATTGGGGGGGGGGGCGCGTGCGTTTTGCGGGCCCGCGCTTACATCCTTGTAAATCTCTTCTTTTTAAGATGTCACAAAAGGCGCTGCAACACTGCAATTCTCTGTCTCTCCCCCCACACACCCCCACCCCACCCCCGGCTGCAGGGGAAAAAAAAAAAAAAAAGGAAATTAAAAGCACACAGGCAGCGCACAAACTCAGCTCTCCCCGAAGCACCGAAGCGGCAAATATCAAGGGCACAGGCTGGGCTGAACTGTGGAAAAACGCCGTGTGCAATTTGGCGGGGGTGGGTGGGTGGGGTGCAGGGAGGTGTGGGAAGCGTTCACAGCTGGCTCAGCCTGCAGAAAGGGGGCGGCCTGGCCTGTGACAAATGGCTGGCTGATACAAAAGAACCTGAGATGGTGACAGGCTGAAGAACAGGTCAATATCAAGCTGTCACAAAGCCCTTCCAGAAGCGTAATTAACTGCTTACTAACCTGGCATCATCATTCATTGTGCAGTGGTCAATGGGTGCCATGAAGCTCACCAGCTTGCTGTGGACATGATACCTGGAAGGCCGGGGGGGGGGGGGGGGGGGGGGAGGAAAGGTAAAGAGAAGGCATTAAGGAAGAGCTTCCGATAGAAAAGCTTTACCCGTCCCAGGGAAAAGGGGCTTTAAGAGAGGGGCTTGGCGGAAGAGGATGCGTTCGCAGCTCTGAATTGAACTGTGGGGGTCCTGGGTGCTTTCTGAACGTGGCTGTTTTCTTGCAGGGGTTTCATGACCTAGTTTGGTCATCAGGGCTAGAAGGGAGTGGGGTTTGTGGAAAGGAGGAGGAGGAGGAGGAGGAGGAGGAGGAGGAGGAGGAGGAGGAG